AATTATATATTATTTTAATTGATTAATTATTAAAATTAAAGTTAAATTTTATTTTTTTATGTAATTTAATTATAAAAAAATATACTAATTATTATCTTGATGAACCCTTAGAAAATACAGTTGAGAAAAACTTAATCTAAATCAAACCCAAAATAATTGCAATTGAGTAATCATTTGTTTATGGACAAAATTTAATCAATTTATAAACAAAAACAAGAAAATGGGGAAATGGGATGGTCAACTCCGCCAAGAAATCATCTTTGCCTTGCATACTATCTCTCGAGAATTTCTTCACGGCAATTTCCAGATTCTCCTTCTCCAACACCCCTCTATAGACTACCCCGTATCCTCCCTGACCCAGCTTCCGCTTCTGGTCAAAGTTGTTCGTCACCATCTTCAAATCCCGAAAGTGGAACTCCCTGGGCGTTCCCGACAAGCTCTTCAGTGTGCCCAATATATTGAAATTATTGGCAAAAGCAACTCTACAAAATTAAGAAGATACAGAAATTATCCAGAATTAAAGCAAGAGGCAATAATTTTGTGCATCAACCAACCTTAATAAATATGAAAAAGTAGACAACAGCACCGACAAATCAACAACCCAAAATAAGCTCTAAAACTCCAACAAAGGAAAACAGAAATCATAAATATAATATACACAAGAAAAAACAAACAGCAGATCCAAAGCTTGAGCCATCAGAAATTCAATGTAATAAAATACTCTACATATTATTTGATGTTAAAAAAATTGCTTCTTTTCTGTGCATCAAATTGATTTAAAAGCTCTAGTTCCCATCCCCATTTCCCCCAATAAACAAGTAATTAACCATGGCAAAACCAACATCAAGATCCATCAGAAAATTACCAGATCCAATACAAAAATATAATGCCAATTAAAATCACAAAAAGAACAGATCTTCTCCAGAAATGCAACCCAAAAGACCCCTTGAAACCAACAGATATGAGCCATTTTTGTCTTCTTAACAAAGATCTAGATCGAATTGAGCAACAAATGCAACTAAATCAAATGCAAATTAGCCATAAGAAAACAATAATTTCTTCCATATGCAAACTTATCAAACGAAACTAAACAATACAGAGACCAACAACAGCGTCCGACATCAATCAAGAAGCCATGCTTGATAATAAAGAGTTCAATTTTTGAAAGGACGAAGAGGGGAAGAAGATGATAGAAGCTGGAAAATGAAATAAAACCCTAAATATCCTCAAAATATGGTAATTTCACAGAAGATTTAAAGTTTGACAAAGAACCCATGCTCGATGAATTGCAAATCTTGCTAAAAAAAGGTTCAATTTTTAAAAGATGAAGAGGGAAAGAAGATGATAGAAGCTGCCAAACAAAATAACAGCCTAGATATCCTCAAAATATGGTAATTTGATAGAAGATTCAAAGCTTGACGAAGAACCCCATGCTCGATGAATTGTAGATCTTACTAAACAAAGACGAAGAAGGGAAGAAGACAAAAATGATAGAAGCTAATCCCTAAATCCCTAAATCCCTAAATCCCCAATTTTATTCCTTAAACAACTTAAGGGTATAAAAGTAATTTACGTAATCTACTGATTTTGAGGTATTTGTCCAATTGTGCCTCCACCTCAGCATCCATCTCAGCAAAAAGAAGGCCACGTCAGACACAAAGGAAGGGCTAATGAGCGGACTGTTAAATATTAACGGAAGGGTTAAGAGAGGGACTGATTTGCCACTGCAGGTGAGTTGAGGGGTTGATTTGCGCGTGAAGTGGGTTGAGGGGTGATTTGCCACCAGTTGTTGAGTTTAGGGGGTGATCTGCACTTTTGCCTAAAAAGAAGCCTATTCCTTGACGTTAACAAAAAGATGGTTCCCCAAAAACAAATATCTCTCTGCTCTCCCAGTCCCACCCACCAGTGTCCTTCAGTGAATCGGCGTGCGCAGAACGCTAATCTTTATTCTGAAAAAAATAAAAAAATAAAAAAATAAAAAATTTCTCTACCGCCACTATTTATTCACTGTCTCTGCGGTGCCGGTTCTCAGATTATCAGCGGCGAAAATGGCAAACAACGTCAACGTAGACGGTTCCGACCGGTTACCGACGATACTGGTCACAAACGACGACGGAATCGACGCACAAGGCCTCCGTTATCTCGTCCGCGTCCTCGTCTCTGCCAATCGCTACCGAGTCTTCGTCTGCGCTCCTGATTCGTACGTAACTCCACTTCAATACTTCTCTGAATTTTTTTTTTTATCTCTTTGATTCTATGTTCTGTTCTTGTTCCATTATGTACGGACTCTTTCGATTTACTGTTACTGTTTGGACGATCTTAATTGCCGATTATCCCAAACTGTTTGTTTTAACAAAAAAGTGGTTTCAGTTCGGACTGTACAAAAGTGTCCATTTGTTTATAAATTTATTTAAAATTTTTTAAATAAAATAATATAAAAATAATTTTATTAAAAATAATTTAATAAATTTAAAAGATAAATTTGCTTTTAATATACTGTCTAAATTGTAAAATATTAGTCTTTTTATTGAAAGTATTCCATGTTAATTTATACACATTTTTGTTTTAGAAATGTATTTTTTAAAACGAAAAGTATTTTTTTAGTACATATTATATATTAAAAATATAATATATTTTATAAATTCATTTAAATATTTTTTAATAAATAATATAAAAAATAA